AAAAAAAAAAAAAAAAAAAAGGAGAAAAGAAGGTTGCCCCACGCAGGTGTGTCTGAATGGTGTGAGGCAGGGGGTCTCCCTTACTTGGTGATCCTACCCCAGGAGGGAAGTAGCAGATGGTCATTCATTTCACTTCTGCCTCCCAGGATCCAGCTGGGTTTGAGGCTTGTTCTCTGGTTTCATGGACTGGACCCCTGAAAAGAAGGAAGTTTTCTGTAGGTCTTGGATGTTAGTACGTCTGCTAGCTGCCTGGTCATATGAGGCTTCTTGCTCCATGAAACAGTGTGTATATTCCTTTTATTTTTATAGTTTTGTAGAGATGGGGTCTCACTGTGTTGCCCAAATTGGTCTCAAACTCCTGGCCTCTAGTGGTCCTCCTGCTTCTGCCTTCCAAAGTGCTGGGACTATAGGCATGACCCATGGCACCCAGCCTATTGTTGCTGTCTTTAAATAAATGAAGTAAGAAAATAAATAGGCCAGGCACAGGGGCTCAAGCTTGTAATCCCAGCACTTTGGGAGGCCAAGGTGGGTGGATCACAGTCAGGAGTTCGAGACCAGCTTGGCCAACACAGTGAAACCCTGTCTCTACTAAAAATACAAAAATTAGCTGGACGTGGTGGCGAGCACCTGTAGTCCCAGCTACTTGGGAGGCTGAGGCAGGAGAATGGCTTGAACCCGGGAGGTGGAGGTTGCAGTGAGCTGAGATTGTGCCACTGCACTCCAGCCTGAACGACAGAGCTAGACTCCATCTCAGAATAAATAAATAGGTATTATTTTATAACAACCCGTTTCTTCTAGAGTCTCAATAAGTAAAAACTAGAGCAAGAGAAATATGCATAAGACTTTGACCCATAATAGTGATAGAAATTAGGTTTGTGAAAGTTTCCACCCCTGAGTGGCGTGTTTTCTTGCCATCCAGGGACAGCCCAATGGGATAGTCTAGGTCAGTGTTTTCTGGTGTTTTATATTCTGTGGGACATTTGTGACTGGCCAGATTTGACAGTGAGGTGAGTAGGGATGACGTAGAGTAGAGCAGAAAAAGAATTTTTCTGATGTAGAAACTCTTATTTTTATCTTTTTATTTTGGAGATGGGGATGTCACTGTGTGTGCCCAAGCTGATCTTGAACTCCTAGCCTCAAGCGATCTTCCCATCTCAGCCTCCCAAAGTGCTGGGATTTCAGGTGTGAGCCACTGCACTGGTGTTGAAACTCTTTAGGGGAGTAGGAGAGTAATGAAAAAGAACAAACCCAGACAACACAGTAAGACCCCATCTCTACAAAAAATAAAATTAGCAGGAACGGGTGGCGTGTGCCTGTTGTCCCAGCAACTTCAGGGACTGAGGTGGGAGAATTGCTCGAGCCCAGGAGGCTGAGGCTGCAGTGAGCAAAGATTGTGCCACTGCACTCCAGCCTGGGCAACAAAGTGAGACCCCATCTCAAAAAAGAAAAGAAAGAAAAGAACAGCCCTGAAACCCATCATTAGTCAATCTGCAAAAAATTATTTTGTTTAATGACTACCTATCAAATGAATTATGAGGTTGCGGAGCTTGGTAAGCAAAGGGGAAAATGTATTATGAGATATAAAAATGAATTCTAAAAAACTTAATGAGTTAAGAGACCGTGAGAATCAGCCAAGGTATAATAATAACTAACTAATTATTGTATTTGACATCCTTCTAAGGAGTTCATTGTATTATCTTTTTAAATCTTGACAAGAACGGACGAGGTGGGTGTCAATTAACCATATTTTACTCTCAGGAAAATCGAGGCACAGAGAGGTTAAGTAACTCACCAGAAGTCACACAGCTGGAAGTGGTCCCAACCTTTCGCTACTGGCTTGGGCTGCCTCCGAGCACTGAGCAGATGCTGGCACTGGAGCTAGAAGGCATTTGAGTCTTACAGTTGGGCATGTATATAGGCCATATGGCCTCAGGGACATTGTCTAACCTTTCTAAGCCTCCGTTTCCTTATGGTTAAATAAAGATAATACTTATCTGGCAGATTTATTGTGGGGATTAAATTAAACAATATGCATGGAGGCATTTTGTAAACTGTGGAGCGCTAGTTCAGTGATTTTTTTTTTTTTTTTTTTTTNTTTTTGAGACAGTCTCACTCTGTCGTCCAGGCTGGAGTGCAATGGCACAATCTTGACTCATTACAACCTCTGCCTCCCGGGTTCAAGCAATTCTCCTGCCTCAGCCTCCCGAGTAGCTGGCACCACAGGTGCCTGCCACTGTGCCTGGCTAATTTTTGTATTTTTAGTAGAGACAGGGTTTCGCCATGTTGGCCAGGCTGGTCTCAATCTCCTGACCTCAGGTGATCTGCCCGCCTCGGCCACCCAAAGTGCTGGGATTATAGGCGTGAGCCACGGCGCCCGGCCCAGTGATTATTGTTATAATCTGACTGGGAAGACGAACCCGAGACAGCGGAAGAGCGAGGAATCATACAGGCTATGGTTAATTCTTCCTTCGGGGGATAGAAGCAGTACCAGGTACCAGGTAATATGGTAATTACCAAGTGCACGTGGATGAAGCACAGGCTTTGGGGTTGGAGCTCTCCCTGAGGACTGAACCACATCTTTTAGCATGAGTTAGTGCTTGCTGGGTGGATGAGGGGATAGGGCATTCCAGTGCAAGAGGAACATAAATAAAGAAACATCTAGACTGGGCAGAAAAGCTTCTCAGTGGGTGCAGCCAAGACTCATTGGCTGGAGTAGAGAGAAGGGCAAAATTGGCCACTCCCTCCTCTGAACTATAGCAGGGCTGGTGACCTCTCCTAGCTCCTGTGACCTTGTGCTAGGTCATTTCTCTCCATGGCCCCCAGTGAATGCTGAGCTTATTGAGGGCAGGTCTGTGTCTTGCTCTTGCCTACATCCTGAAGCTCATGGTTAGTGGTGAATGGGGCCAGCAAGGGAACTCTGGGCCTGGGTGGACAGCTCAGCCTGGGCTACAGAAGA